GCGAGGGTCCATGTGGATGTGTGTGCAGAACATTACAATGCACCAACTATGCAGCAGACTTGAAGGGGACAGCGAAGTGTAACAGGAAGGACTGCCGGGCCGCCGGGTCTCCAGCGGCGTATGATGGTCGGATAACACTGTCACACCTCTCCCCTCAGAGAACAGCCCTCTGAGGGGCCGGCGCTATCAAACAAAGCATTGATTATACTGTCGATGTGTCTCGTTGTGCATGTATTATTTCTTTAGGAATTGAATTTGCATTTATTTGTCATTTGTGTTTGGGTGCAGAAAACTCTCTGGATTCATTAACATGCATGCATATGTATGCTGCTGCTGCTTTGAGATTCAGTGTACTCTGTTTCTTTGCTGTATTTGCCCCCTCTGCGTTGGATAATCCCCGCTCTCAAACAACAAAGGAGACATAACAACGCCCTGTGTGCAATAAATCCACCTTGTTGTCCTACTCTTGACCCCACACCCGGCTCCGGTCCCTCGCCCAGCCTCCTTCCAACTCCAACCCAGCCTATGCATCCAGCAGGCCCCCTTCCTGGCTCCCCCCCAGCATGCTTCCCATTAGTTAGTGTTATAGTGCAATCAGATTTCTCCTGACAAACATGCATCACCCTTTGTCTGCGTTCTCTGTTTATTTTCATCATTAACTCCAATAATCATCAGTAACATCTTACTTAAAGACTTCATCCACCTCTTTGAATATGAAACCATTAGAAACCGACTTTGTTCACTCTGCTAAAGTAGAAAAACACGGCACACAGTCACACGGCACTTACGCCACTGCCTCATTTTCTGTGCTCGTGGTTGTTTTTTCTAAGACTTTCCAACGATGGGAGGAGCGCTGCTCTACAAACAGCATTTGAGCCAAACGGGAAAATCAAAGGACTAAAAATCAGGTGAAATTCACTGCATTGAGTTGCAGGTTTTTGGCGTTGGTGTTATTCTGCATGATGAGCAGCAACAGCAACAATCAACAGGGTGGATTTTTAAAACCTGCTTCTTGTTTTTTTGGGACGTCAGAAGGACCGATGGTCGAGAACAACGTCAGAGTATTCCCGCTGAACCTGCAGAACCATAGCGATGCAGGCAGAAGGTGTTTGGATGGGTCCTGTATTAAACGAGCAGCTGGATAAAGTGAGAGATTAGAGAGAGACAAACACAGCCAGAAGAACTGAGGGAGAGAAAATTGCACGATTCAGGGAGGGGAAGATATAGTGCTGCACTTTTCTAACACTGAAAAGCATCAATGTTGAGTCCAGAAAAAGCTTTTAAGGTACAGTCTCTTATCTATCTGCCTTTATCATCACCCCCCCCCGCCCCATTTTTAAGACAAAGTGGTGACGGTGCCTCTTTGATGCATCTCACTGCTTTCCTCGTCAGGTGATTGACAGGGAGGATGGCCTAAGCCCAGCAAGCCCAATCACATGGCTACATGCATGCATGAATCCAGCTTCCAGTTTATCCAACTAATGCACTAAATCCCACCTTAACAAGGCTGTTAACTGATATGATAAGTTCAGTTTTTTCATTTAAACTGCATCTGTGGCTCTACATACACACACCTTCTCTGAACGGCGTCTCTTCGTGTTGATTTGTGTCTCTGAGTGTGTTTTTGGAGTGCCTGTATGTGAGCACACTGCACAGCGTATATAGCTTTTTCAATAACCAGCAGGTCATCCGAAGGGTCATCCACACTTGAGCCCACAACCCTGGCTTTGTGCGTGCAAGGATTTCTACAGACGGAC